GAAAAAAAAAAAAAAAAAAAAGAGAAGAAAAGAACACAAGGTCACATAAAATTATAGCCCAAAAAATGAGGGAAATGTTCTTTTAAAAAATGTCTTCAATCAAGTAACCAAGACCTAAATGATAATTACAAAAAGGCTTCGCCACTAAAACCCACAGAGAGACATAGAACCGATTGTCTTCTTTCATATATAACTTAAAATCATCCTCTAGATGATCCAAATTGAACCATTAAATGTCTGACTTAGGTCTTTATAACACGTGATTTATAATCAATAAATATTTGCTTAATACTCCACCTTTGTCGCATATTCCATACATCACATAAAATTAATATAAGTGCTGTGGCCTAGGACCTTTTAGTCAGTATGGCAAATCATTTAAAGAATTATATAAAACCCATACTAGATAAAAGGTGCTTACAAATAATAAACTTATTACAAAACAAATAAATAAATACTTGCACTGGTTAAAAATAATTAAAAAAAAAACAGCTGTTTAGACAGCATAACATTTCCAGATCTTTTATAAAGAATTTAACAAAATCAATACTAAATGAAATATTCTTACACATAATGAACTTATATTCATGTAAATACATGCACGTGTTAAAAAGATTAAAAACTCACTTTTATGACATCCAGACACAACACTGAATCGAGGCCTCAGAGTACAGCACTAAGTACCCAAATATCATATCTAGTTGTTATCATCTATCATAAGTGTTTCATTAAAAATGTTAAAAAAAAAACGCTATAAAATATTTTACTGCATTCTATACTGAATTCAAAATAGATATAATTAATTGCATGATTCTGAGTATTAAAAATGCTTAGAAAACATCACAACGAAGCAAAATTCTAGGATTCAAACATGCCACTAACGCAGGAGTAGTAAAAACTATATTTATTCACAGACATGAAGACAGTGATATCTACCTCCTGAAGACAAATTATATCTGCACGATAGCCAACTATTTCCCGGAGCAGATTTTGTCGGCGATATGGCCATGAAAGGGCCCATGAAGGGCAATAACTGAATGTTTCACTTGTAGCATACACATCAGCCAAAATATTGTAGGAAAGCACTGTAAAAGTTCCTGACGATACTCGACCATCCAAATCCAGCTTTCCCATCACATCAACCCCATTAACAGGTATTAAGCAACGTGGACTAGCAGATGGAGCTGGAATGACCCGAGAAGTTAATACAGTAAGTGGAGAAGCCACAGGCAACATGGTTTCCATATCAACAACAGCACATTCAAACTTGAGGACATGGCCAATATCTTCAGCAGTTGGTGTGTAACTCTTATAGCGTCCTACTTCTAACCAAGTTTCCACACCTGTCTTTTGCGTAACAGCTGCCGGGTACAATGGCGTTAAACCATTTGTCAAGCTAGTACTAATCGTAGAACTAGAAGAGCTAGAGTTGATGACACCAGATGCAGAATTATTATTATTATAACGTCCAAATAACTCTTCCTCTTCATTACCATTTTCATTCATAGAACTTGCAGCACGGTCATGTAGAACACGATGATGCTGCCAAGAATCTGAGAAACATTTGGTGGTGCAATGATAACTTTTGAAAGCAGGAATTTTGGCTTTAACACAACCTAAGCACTGTAAAGTGGCTTGCTCAGAAGGATGCACACTACAAACAGCAACTTTTTTATCACTCTGTAAGCGATACCTGAAAGAATTTATTGTATTAAGTTGAACATCAGCAGCATCATTTAAACAAAAAGATAGATGTCTACACAGAGAAAAAATAGACCCTGCAGAAAAGTTAATCCCTTATGTTATAGCATTGACGTACACCGATAATTGTAATAATTTCTTACCAAAATCCACAAGACTTGGGCAAGAAAAGAAGCTGCTATATTTCATCAAATAACTTTATTGTGTGAATTAACTAACACTTCAAAACAGATGTATATCAGCTGAAAGCCTGAAACAATGCTGAGCAGCAAATGTATCAACTCCAAAGCATCAAGATCTTACAATTTTTTTGTACAATCTCAAATTCTCATTTCTCATTGCCTCCGTGGCTAAAACCTCCTCTCCCTTCGGAGCCATATTATTTTTTCCCCAACCCCTTCCCCATCTTTTTTTTTTCTTTTCCCGTCCATCAAAGTAAGAGATATAGCTTCTTATAAGGGAATTCAATTCATGTACGGACAACAGTTCAATAAATTTCTGATGGAAAAAGTTCGATTTATGTATCCTAAATTTTCATTTTTTTTTTTTTTTGTCCAAATTTTGATTTCTTATAATAGATAAAAAAAAATTCTTGAAACTATGCTAAGTGGTTGTGATTATATCCAACCCAGCCTGATGCCCCCATGATTTCCTCACATAACCTTGCGCTAGTTGCCACAAAATATCAGGTTCTAAAGGAAAAACCACCAAAACCTATGAAAGAAGAGAGTTAAATTTCTAAGCATTAAATTGTCTATCTCCAACACATCCTTTTTCACTAGCTTTCCAAACGACTAAAACACCAACAAACAAACAAAGGGAAGTAGCGCCTTTGAGCATGCATAAAAATACTGATCCAGTAGAATACAATAATTGGCACCTGTATAAAATCAAGCTGGTGATTTCATTCAAATTAATTGCTACATTCATAAATTATAATCGTGTTCACTTTCCCTTATAGTAGTAAGATATAAGAGAGAGCAGAAGAAAGTGGGTTTGAAACACATATCTTATAAAAGAAAAGGAAAAAAAAAAAAAAAAAAGAAGAAGAATAAAGACAGTCATTGCAATACACGTCAATTTAGAACACAAGCTATTTCAAGGGTAGCACTAAACAGGTTCGAAGTTCAAGAAAACCACTAAACCCCAAACACATCCAATTGAAACACCGTGACCAATAGTCAAGACACCATAGAGTAGTAAACAGCCAATAAGCAAAAGTACACAGACCGAGAACCAATTCATATTCCGCAACAGACTTGAGAAATTACCACTCGAACTTACCATCTGTATCTCAGGAATTGACCATCAATAGGAGCGGACTCAGATACATCGTCGGTACTGATGTTTTTATCTGGGCGGCGATGGAGGACGTAGGGCGTGAGTTCGCAACCTACAATAGGAATATCAGAGGGCAGGTGCACGCGTACCACGCTCAGCATGCTTCACTCACGGCAAGTCTACCAACGCGAATCGAAGACAAAAGAAACCAACAACTCCCGGAGCTTTACGAATACCACAAAAAGCGTAGAGAAGGCGGATACCTGGCGGATCCGCCATTTACATAAGGTCCAAAACCGCCAGACTTCAGCTACAAAAGAGGAGTAAAAAGGCTTTCAGAAATCAGAAATTGGAAGAAGCATCTGCGGATCTTGAGAGAAGTACGGAAGTAGAACAATGAGGGGAACGCGATTTGATCGGCGAAATGGAATAGGAAAATCGAGGAGAAAAAAGGGATCGATGATTAGGGTTTTACAGAAGAAGTGAAAGTGATCTTGAAATTTTGGTGTATCTTCCGATTTTAATGCCTTTTGAGAGAGAGAGAAAGAAAGAGGACCAGGGGAGAAGGGGGGGCGTGAATGAAGGAAGAAGGGATTGTGAGGGGTTTATATAGTACGACTTTTTTTCCTTTTTATCGAATTATCATTTTTATTTATTAATTTTATCATTTTGAGCTAAACTGATTTTTTTTTTATTTAAATCTTTATAATTTTTCTTTTCTAACCATGTATTTTTTTTTACCACGATTTGTATGGAATAACCAAAAAGTAATAATAATAATCACAACTTGCAGTTATATGGAGTCTTTGTAACGTCTTCTGTTCTTATTCAAAACTTCTTTTTCAACTTTTGACAAAAAATAAAAAATAAAAAATAAAATAAAATTAGAGTTGGATAAAATCTTTAAAAAAATTAATATATAAAGATGTTCATCTTCAGCGTTTTGAAACTAATAAATGGATAGGATACGATCTTTAAAAAAAAAAAAAAAAAAAAAAAAAAAAAAAAAAAAAAAAAAAAAAAAAAAAA